GTTCATAGTTGCATACCATTTAAAATGCTTTGTTTTTGCTTGTGTTCTCTGCTAAATTTTTTTTTTCCATTCAATCTGTGCCGCTTCTTTGCCACTGTTTTCCACTGTAGAATCTCCATCTCGCAGCCTTGCTTCTCGTGAGCGCATTTACAAAACTTTTGGTGTAGCTGGGCCTGCCTCTGCACTCTCCTCTCTGTCTCACAAACTGAAGGGTGGGTATGCGTGCATCCACGGAGGGCCATTCTAACTGTACGAGGAAGTGTCAGATAAAGAAGCTTGAGTTCATCTTCGTCATTTTCATCCCATTACATTTTTTAATTAAGGTTTATCATTTTATTTAAAATTTTATGTATTTGAGGTAACTTAGATACAATAACTATAATATTCAACGTTATAGTACAGATTATCCTAATTAGTATGCATGGTTTTTATATTTGTGACCTAATATTATTTACTTTTAAATTTTTGTGCAGTCTTAAAAAGTGAAATAGGTTTGTAAAAAAATGCCTAATTTGAGGAGCTTAGGAAATCATTTTGCGACATCATCAGAACAAGGTGACATGTATAACTTAGCACATGATAAAACTATACAAGTATAGCATTTATTGTGATATAGTAGTTTAGTCTTAAACTCATTTTACTGTATGTAATATATGTTATTTTTACCATTTTAGATTTTTAAGAGAAACATTTTGACTAGTAAGTTAAAAGTTTTTTAGTTTAACTTGGTTATCAGAATACATACACAAACAGACACACACACAGGCCTGTTTTCGGTCTGGCATGAATCTTAATAGCTTTTACTCAGTAAATTAGTTTTAATGTTTTAAGTTATTGATAATTGACAAATTTTAGAAAATTCTAAAATATCTTTTTCTTTGCAGTTGTATACGCAAATCGTTTATGTTAATATTTAAAGTTTTTAAATCTTTTGTTTTAATATTTTTAAAGTTTTTCATTAATCTTTAATATGTTGTATATTTTAAAAGTAATTATTTTCTTAATGAATAAACCATTTATGTCTTCTTTGTACAATGGATAGTAATATTACTATTATAGTATACTATTTATTTCTATAAAGTTCACAAAATAGGATTATATAACATGATCTATATAGAATATATCATTATCACTATCCAGGAGGATAAAATATAGTATGATGTAACCATATATATGTGTGTGTATATATATGATATATAGTATTATTAAGGTGCTGTATTATAATGTGGCATGTCATAGATTAGTATCATGTAATCTGACTATGATTTGGACATGAAAAAATCATAAGGATGATTTAGTGAATGCAAACTTCATACTTAACATTTAACATGTTTAGTAAGATTTAATTTGTTCAAATGCACTAAGTTCTTGTGTTTTCCTGTGTTATTATTTCTTCAGTATTTCCTTGAGATTACAAAATTTTTGACTATGTATCACTTACAGCTACATGTTATATAATCATTAAGCTAAATTAAGTAATGAATGTAAAAGTATTATGTATAATTGAAAGATTTTTTAACAAAATATATGTTTACATTTATTGGTATTTTGGGCAGCTACGACATAACAGTTTTCAAAAATGTTTTGCTATATGCTCAAAACTTTTGAAAGCCACATGAAGAAGGTAAAACAAAATTTATTTAACTGTAGGCTTATCTCACTTAACAAATTAAACGTACTTTTTAAAAATATGTGAAATATATTTTGAGGATTTTTTCAGTAGGATTTAGTTACGATTTGAAAAATACATCTCAAGGAATAATATTTTTGCTATCATTTATACACCTAAAGTCCAACAGATACTTAGCAGTCATTACTTACAGATCTTAAGAGGAATATTCACCCCTACTAAAGTGATAGAAATGAGGTATTAAAATGCCTGTGTTTTCTAACCTACATATCGCAGACACTTTTGCTCGCAATGACAAGTGATGTTCCTAATATTTGTCAGATTCTATTACTGAGCCAACCACATAGGATATTTTCATTTTGAGGAAGCACCCATCACTTTCAGTGCATGTACTCCTGGGGTTAGATGTGACATCAAAATGTATCCACGAGTGTGCAACAGATGTGCAGGTCAGGTGCTGAGACATACCTGAGACAGGTAGTAAATAGTCTTTTCAAGAACTCCTCTCGCTAATTTAGGAATCCTAAAGTGAGTTCCCCTTTTCAGTCAGAGAAAAAATTATTTATTGGAAATGGGTACTACATAGAACATATTTATACTTGCAAACATTATGTATATGGTTCAGCCTTTAGAGTAACATTATGTATATGGTTCAGCCTTTAGAGTAAAAATGTTTCCATCTCTAAGATTAATGTCAAAAATTAATACCCCAAACATTACATACTCAAAATTAATGGCCAGGAATAAACTAATGCTTAATTCTACCAAATATAATTTCCTTGTTTATAAAATTTACTCTGTACTGGTACTCGGTCAAAAAGATAAAATGAGCAGCAGCTTCTTAAATTTTAAATAGTTTGAGAGTACCTGTTTATCAAGATTACATATGATTTTCTGTTCACCCAAGACAAAATCAATATGTGAAATCCTTTTTTGTGATATGTGTTAATAATTTACCCCCCAAATTTAGTGTAGTCTCTTTCATTTTCTTTATTTTTAAAAAGACCACATAGGATTGGATATGTAGCTGAAAGGTAGAGTGTTTGCCTAATATACACAAGGCCTTGGATTCAATGTTGTCTACAAGTACATAAACAACAACAACAACAA